AGAGAGAGAGAGAGAGAGAGAGAGAGAGAGAGAGAGAGAGAGAGAGAGAGAGAGCGCAAAGGGGTGAGGCGCCTGCCTCTATACAAAGGCCATGCCTGCCACGCGTCGCTGCGCCAATTGTTGGTACGCAAAACAGGCCAGTCCGTCGGCCGCGGTCCCTAGACGGTTCCTGCAGCACAGTGCGGCAGCGAGGGTCCAAAGGGACGGGGCACAAAGACAGTGTGCTAATGATTTTGGCGCTACTGTGCAATGGATCAATTAGTTATAATTTTATCTCACTAGCGCTTAAAATCCGTGTGTGCAAAAGTATGTTTTCCTTATAAATACAGCACGTGTACAGTGCAAACCCAACAGTGTACTTAGTCACACTAACAGATTTGTAGGATTTATTTGTACAAAGTTGTGCACGTTTAATTTGGAGTCATTTTATGAGAAGAGGTGTGCGTATTTATGCACAAATTTGTCCGAATCTAAATGTATGCGCAACTTTGTGCAAACGTTTGTACCAAAAACTGCAAATACATTTAGCGTGTACACACAAGGAAGGACCGACTTGCAAGCGCACACACACGTGTGTACGTCCAATAGTTCACGCGTTTACTGTAAGTTGCAGTTGTAAGTGACGATAAATGACGAACGTTTAAGTACTGCATTTGTAAGCGGCGAACTTTTTAGTCCTACACTTATTAGTGGTGAACGTTAGAGTTCTACACACTGTAAAACGCTAAGTCGTCTTTTCACAACAAAAAAAACCACCTCAATTCAACTCTTGAACGGTTCGTCACCAGAGGTGGGACGATTGTTTCATCATGTGACGACTCGACTCAATCGTTAAGTCTTGTAAAATTTATGTCGCCACTTAGAGAAGTAAGGTACGATGGCAATACAACCTGAGAACTTCGATGTTGAAACAAGCTCCTTTCAGAACGCGGCTACCGAAACACTACAGGGTGGGTGATCCGCGCCGTGGTTTTTTTCTGCTTATGCTGTACCGGATTCATGCGTGCGGGCGGGCTTGCCTATCGTCGCTCGCCATGGCGCCTTACGGCCCCGTGCGAGTATGCAACCCGTCCGCACGCATGAATGCGGTACAGTATAAGCAGAAAAAAACCACGGCGCGGATCACCCACCCTGTATCACTATTCAACTATATTTCGGGTCTTTTCGCATTCATTTCGGGGGAAGGTGTAAACGAACTATTTCGCAAATTATTTTCCCTTCGGAAAAACACATTAGGGCTAGTGTGCTTCCAAGCTTGTGATAGATTGTGTGCCACGTGACAAACGCTCCATTTATCTCGATTGACGCGAATGGGTCATCACAAGTGACGAATGGGTCATCACAAGTGACCAATGGTTCGTCAAAATGTGACGATTAGTTCATCTTAATATATTTTTCGTCACATGACAGTTCAGTTTGACAGACACGCAGGTATAAGTGTAGAAAAAAGATCGCCCACTTACAAGTCGTGAGGCAAACTGTGCTACACTAACAAAAAATTTCCTGATCGGCCGAAACGTTTGGAACACGGCACTCAGCACACAGCAGAACACTTACGTCAGAAACATATTTTTTCTACAGAATGAGAGTGCACACACACACACACGTCTGTCAGCCGTGCTGTGAGCGAAAGCTTGAAACTCCGGGGAGACTAGTCGCCGCATTCACAGGCCCGCCCTTCCCCTGCTCCGCTTCGATCCGATCCCAACCAAGAGCATATCGGGCCGCCACGCTTCGGAAAGGGGGGGAGGTGCCGTGTCCTGAAGCTTCACCCTCCAGTGACTCACAGCACGGTCCGGACGAGGGCCGGTGTGAATGCAGCGAAGGAAAGCGAGAAAGGCAAAAGGGACTGAAAGGAGAGAGAGAGACAGACAGACAGACAGACAGACAGACAGACAGAAAAAGACAGATGGCGAATGGGAAGACAAGAGACAGCTGAACATCAGCTCGGGCCGTCTCCGGAACACAGGTTGATTTCCTGATCGTGGCCCAGTAGGCCCTCTAGGCCCTATAGATCAACTGACAGGCAGCTAAGGGCTTTTACCGGGCCTGCACTCAGCTCGGCCAGGAAGCATCGATGGGTTGACCGCGGCCTGAGTAGGAAGGTGAGCGGCGAACAAAACAAGTACTACACTTCAAAGGTATTGATCATTGCCATTATTGGCGATGAGTACTACCGATACTACCTTTTGTGGCAATGAACCCCTTTTGTGGCAGTGAACCGCGCAAAGACAATGGGAAAGAAGCAAAACCTTTCCATCGGCAATGAGTCAGTCATTGCCACTCTAAAGGCAGTATCCATTGCCAATTTCGGCAATGAGCGAATTTTTTTTTTATTTTATTTTTTTAAAGTTTCACTTATGCCCATTAACAATTCGAACCCTGCCGTACTGTCGGCTACGGATGTACATTTTCGCAATGTAGTCTACATCGCCGATATTTTGGCGATGAACTTTTAATGCCGACATTTTGGCGATGACGCTTCACTGCCGACCTCGCTGCCGACAGTTCAGCAGTGTTCAAACTGCTAATAGTTAAGAATGACTAAATTGAACACTAACAAGAATATAACTTAAGGTTTCACACAAGTGTTGAGCAGTTGCACACTTAGTTTATCAGGGTAAAGTGAAATTGAAATAATCGCCATTACTACTGTGCCGGTATATCAGAGCATGCGTGGTGGGGTTGCGTACCCTCGTGGGCCGCAAGGGCTATGAAAACGAGTACAGGCAAACCCGCAACGCATCTGCGTCCGCTCTGATGCACACGGTATTGTATCTTTGCGGATGTTGAACGTGCCGATGATATGGCAATCACTTCGTTATTTTCAGGCCCTTATTTTCATTATACAGGACTCCAATCTAAACTGGCAGGCAACAGCAGGGGTTCGATTCCAATCTGCAAACAGCTGCCGCAGAACGGACCAACCGACACCACCAGACCTAGCTTTTGCTTTTATGCTCCGCGTTCTGGGAGGAGAAGCAACTGGTGCCCCCCGCTCTCTCTCTCTCTCTCTCCTCTCTGCACAGAGTACAGTACAGTGAGAGAGGCTGTGCGGTGTGCAGTGCGGTGCGTCCAAAGGATCGTAGCGTTGGGCCTGAGAGGAGAGGTCCCGGGGAGCAGCAGGGGAGGCGGCGTGCCAATCAGATATATGGACCGCCCCCCCCCCCTCTCTCTCTCTGTCTGTCTCTCTCTCTGTCTCTCTGTCTGTCTCTCTCTCTCTCGTCTCTATCACTATTTCCCTCTCTTTTCTTTCTCTTTCTATCACAGTTGTAGCAATGCGGTGACGAACCCTTCATCGATGTGCTTTTCCGAAAATAATGTAGCAGGCGGACACTGTGAGCCTCGGAGCGTGGGAACGCCAAAAGTTGTGAAACAGCGACAAAAGGAAACTGACAAATTTCTTCGGACATTGACCTACAGCGCATATATACATTTCCACATTTAGGTTCTATAGGTTAGTGCGGAAACTTGTACGCGCCTAAAAAAAAGGAAACGGCCCTTGAAATAAAGGCAAACAAAAAATCCGGGGTCTTTTTATTTTCAAAAAGTGAAACGTGTTTTTAGGTGCAGACCACTCTACCCACCCCAACAGCCTGACCGCTGACCTGTTCGATGCAAAGAAAACAGCAATTACAGGGGCAGGTGTCGACGCTGTCGGTTGAGTAGGGGTGTGTGGGACGGGGAGGGGGGTATTGCGTGATCTACCCGCCTCGCCGTGCACGACTGGCAGAAGCGGGAGGCTTATTCATCATCAGGCTATGACCAGGTAAAGCAGAAGTGAAAAGAGTATAATACAGTCGCTGAGTTAACTGTTCCAAAATAAGGCATGCATGGGTGTTTTTCCTAGTCTGCTCATATAATACAGAGATGAGAAAGGACTCCGCCATATCAACATCTTGAACGATTCGTGTTTCAGTCAAGAGTTTGACGGAATTTGTTCATCAAAACGGTGACAACTAAATTCTGCGAACGCCATGCTGATTTTCAGAAATCCAAACGGTCATTTTAACACCGGGCTGATACAGTATAAACTGGAAAAACGAAGGTTGGACGTTTAAAGACAATAACTCATTTAGTAACGCTTCGTGAGCATCGCGATGACAACGGCCGTGGGCAGAGCTCGGGCTTCGTCCGCTGGTTTCCACTCGGTTTCCACCTCATCGCACAAATCTTAAGACTTCTTCAACTGTTGTGCCTTCTCTGCAGAACATGAAAACGCAGGGCCGTCGGGCCGCCGGCCGGGAAAGTCGCAAAATAAAGAGGGCAGTTTTGTAGGGGAAGAAACACTGTGACAGACAGGGAAGTGAGGGAGGGGACACAACGGTTTGTTTCTTCCCTTCCCATGCTTCCGAACAGTACAAGAGACCACGACATCAGAGGGGTATGTGGGGCGCACTGGGTCTGGGGACGAAAATGATGGAAGAACAAGAGAAGGGGAGAGGAGTATTTGAGAAAGAGGTAAGGAAGGGAGAAAGGGGGCAGGGGTGGATTTGAGAGCATAAGAGAGAAAGAAATGGAGGATACTTTGGGGATGGTTGGTCGGCCGGGCAGAAAACTGGCAGCAGGCGGGCGCAGGGCGCAGGCACGGCACCGTGGCAGCGAGCGAAGCAAAGCGAAGCCTGAAGGAAAAGTGTTTTTCTCTTTTCCCCTATTCCACGAAAACGCGCCAAGTGAGAGAGTCGGAAGTGGAGGGGGTGGGGGCAGGAGCTGTAGTGGCAGTGTGGCAGTGTCGAGGGCGGGATAGAAACAAAAGTGAGGGAGGGGGGGGGGGGGGGGGGGGGGGGGGGGGGGGGGGGGGAAAAAAAAAAAGGGGGGGGGGGGGGGGGGGGGGGAGCCAGGAAGCGTTTCGATGGAGATAACCGTATTTGCACGGGGCTGTCTTTGACACGTGCGCGGCAGAACGTGCGGGTGCGCTCGCTCCGGGCGGGGTGGTGCGCGCCGGTCATTGTGGGAAGAGGCGTTTTGGGGAGAGGCTGCCCCCCCATCTCCCATGGGATGCGGAATAATTATCGCGATCCGTCTCTCGCCTTCGTCTTTTCTTCAAGAAAATGACATATTTGTCATAATTTATTGCAGTGTGTGCAAAGTAAGTTGGACACCAAGACAGCACGTTCTGAGTATTAACATTATTATAAAGTGGCGTTTGCCCAAACGAGTGTGAAAATACTGCCCATTAGTTTAGCCAAAAGTTATGGTCAAATCGTTTTACTTGGCCGTTAAAATTTACCACCAGCTCACGAGCTCGCCGACGACCGTAGCCACGCTCGCGATCAGTTGTGGGTATTTATAACGCCCGGACGTTGGCGCCACGAGCGTCAGCCTGCTCCTGATCTTCGACAGCAACACCCAGACCAGGTCACAAACATGAGGCTCCTGTTCGCTCTCCTCGCTCTCCTGAGCTGCATCGTCTGCGCCGCGGTAAGTGAGCGTATACACCGTGAAAACCGACCCTTTCAACTTGTAATTTTACGACACACAATAATGTATGAACAATTTTCCCGTAAACCTACCACTATTTTTTCACAGTATGGAGGCAATGATGGCAATGCCACCGGGATGGGGTGGCGCAGGGGGTCCCCGGGGGACTAGTCGGAACCAGTCCCGTCGGTCCCGTCCACTCCCACCCCCCCTCCCCTTCACTTCTCACTGCGTCACCCTGCTCTGAGCATTACCGATACAGTCTTGGGAACGATTAGGCCCAGGCGAGCTCGCAGAACAAGGCGTTTTCGTCGTAATTTGGACCCCCTGCCGCTGTAAAATTATTTGAATAATAGGGGTGCAAAATACCGGACCACCCGAGAGACGGCCGCCCTGTGGCAATCGTTGCGAAACACACAAAGATATTGTACTGTGAAGGTTTGGCAACATTGTGCAAACGTCAAAATTAAATTAAACTGGAAAAGCAGCTCGACATCCAAGCAAATCACTTAGCCAATCGTCTTTTCACCCAGAAAAAAAAAATTGAAACCTGAGGCAACCATTCTACATTAGACTAGGGATAACCATGCAAAATATTGTTGTGGTTACGGTTACATCAACAATCGAAATGGTTCGGTTCGCTGTTGTCGTCGTTGGAACAACCCACTATAAGTTTCTTACAAAGAACTGCCCTTTGTACTAAGGATTCGGGGCCTTTGTCAAATTATTTGTATTACGAAGGGCTCGGCTTCGTAATACGAAGAGCACGCGTGTTGCCGCAACCATATTTTGATGGTTCTTCCTGGTCGGCTGCTACAAGTTTTAGCTTTTTGGGGTGTTATTCTTTTCAACCCTATCACCGCAGACTACCTTTTCACAAACTATTTTAAAAGTAGATTTTGCGCAGCATGATAAAAATGATTTAAAACAAAACATTTTACTTGTATCGGACACAATTTTTGTGAGACGCTTGAAGGCCGCTGTTGCAGCACTAGGAATTGGGGAGGGTGGGGCAGGGAAAGAGGGAAGGTGTGTCCCCCCGGGAACCAGGACCGGGGGCGGGCGCAGCGGGACGCCAAAGTGTTAAACGGGGGGGAGGACAAACAGAACGAAAATCAATTCCTGCAGCGGGGCGTTTCTAGGCCACGGCGTCGTTGGCTGAGCTAAGCGGCCGCTAAGCGCCGCGCCTGGGCATCGATTGAGTAGTAGCAGCAGCAGCAGCAGCAGCAGCAGCAGCAGCAGCAGCGGGGCTTATCAGATGATGAGAGCTGCTGATTACGTAGGGTGTGGTGCGGCGGGGCAGGGCGGGGCGGGGCCGACCAGCGGGTCAGTGGCAGGGGATGGAAGAGTCGGGGGGCGGGGGAACCGGCCCAGAGGAGTAGGGGCGGGAGTAGGGGGAGGGGGACGGGGACGGGGCCTTTTATCTGATTTACTCCAAAAATGCTCCGCTGCTCCGCTGCTCGCCGGCCGGCCGCAGCGAGGCGGGCCCCATGCCGTTCCTTTACATCTGTTTGGGGCTGCTGCTACTGCTGCTGCGGGGCGGGATGGGCAGCCCCGCTGCGAATTAGTCCCCTCAACCAAACAGGGGGTGGGGGGACGGGAGGGGGGTGGAGTGTGGCTTCACTGAGAGTTGCTGTGCGAAAAATAAGATCTGAGCGATCGGCAAAGTTGGTGGAGTTGGGGTTGGGGGTCTTGCTTGTAGACTCTACATATACGCAATGGGGGCAACAACTCCGGTAATCATGATGTGTATATCTGACCGAGAATCATAAGGATAAAAATTATTCGAAATCAACATAAATCGCTCAAACTAAGCGAAAAACTAGAGAAACCGGTACAAACAAGTCGAAATAATCGTTTCCTAGCCCAACAAAGAAGAAAAATAAAAACCAACAAACCTAAGAAATTATTATAAGCGGACCGGAATTTCGCTTACGTTTACCTATTTTTACGGATTCGTACGGGTTTTGACCGATTTTGAGCAATTCTGACCGATTTTTACGGATTCTTACGGGGTTTTACCGATTTTCACAGAATCGGTCAAAATCAGTACCAATCGTTCAAAATCGTCAAAATCCGTATATGCGCGAGGGGGGCAATAACTCTGTTCTATGGATTTTGCCGATTTTTTTTGAGCAGAGGGAGGTAAAGTATTTTCACCCCAACCCAAGAGAAAATGAATGTTAAGTTTGCATGTCCTATGGTACCTCGCCGAATCGTTCAGCCCAGAATGTACCGTCGCGACAACCTTCCGACTTCCTGTCCGCCTATTAGTCCCTCATCTCTGCCCGCGAAGAGGATGATGCGATTAAAAATGAATACAGCGGCGAAATGGAGCGGAGACAGAACACGGCAGGAGCAGAATTACTATTGCCCGTGTCGCTCTGTAACCTCCCCCCACCCCCTCCCCCCACCCCCTTTTCTTCCCCGCTCCACTGCTCGTTCCCGGTGACATTCGCCCTCATTTCACAGCCGTCTGCTGTCTTTCTCTGCAGCTTGACTGCTCGGGGTGATAATTTTTGTTAACGTCTTTGCCGTGCTTTGTGCGACTTAATTACGCATTTTCGAGATTTGTTTTCAAAATTAGAAACTACGCCCTTACTCTGCAAATCAAAGTGTAGAACAAAGATGGCAGTAAGAACTGTGAGACTGGAGAGTTCTACACATCAAATTTGATGTGTAGAACTTAACTTAACTTAAGTGCAGTTTTCTAACATGAACGAAAACTTCCTAGCGCGCTATCGTCTTCGTCTCGAAATTCTCTTCCATTTGCAGAGTAATTCTCTGGCTAGTGATGAAGACAAATCCCAATCAATATAAATAAATAATGTTCTCGTAAAATGGCAAAAATTGGTTCCGTTTAGGTCGAATAGTTGGCAATCCTTCAAAATCAGGTAACCGTAGTGAAAACAAAGAGTGCGCACATTGACGATGGCGACGTTTTGCTGCTCCGCTCACCATGGCTGCTCCGAAGTTGTGGAGGGAGAAGCCCCCACCTCCGCGGTTAGCGTGATGCTCGGGGTCCGAGACGTTGCCGCCGTCGGTGTCGTCCGTGTCCGAGTGGTGACCGCCGAGAGGGAGGCTGCCCGGCGGGGGCGCGCCGGCCCCGGAGCCCCCGGCCGGCAGTCCCTCGTCACCATCGTGCTCCCTGGCGGCCAGAAGACAATAACATCATAGTGTGCAACCTCACTCCGAAAATAAAGGTGGATTTAGAGTTCACAAGATGTGAGCGTGATTCTCAGCACATAGCTTTTGTCATAAGGCTCTACTATGTGCATGGCCAATTACACACTACCAACTGCATACATGTACACGCTACCACCTGAATACAAAGTATAGGCCTTCAGGAGGTACTGCCTACATGTACACACACTTAAATTTCAAGAGTGTGCGATATTTTTTAGGGAAATTCACACCCCTGCAAGCAAGATAAAATGTTGCAGTTCCAGTCGTATCCTTTAGTTTGTCGGCCAGGCCAGGCCAGGACAACGCACCTCGGAGACGGGGTGGAGGAGGCGAAGTAGGGCGGCGGCGCGCCGGGCGACCTGGTGGTGACGACGCGGTGCTGGTAGGCGGTGCCGCCGCCTGCCGACGCGGTCACGGGATACTGGAGCACGCTCAGCAGGAGGTCGTCGCCGCCGGCCTGGTGCGGGCCCTGCTGCGAGGGCGGCGCGCCCTGCGGGGGCGGCCCCGGGCCCGAGGTGGACGCCGAGCTGACGGAGCCCCGCGACCGCAGCGCCGAGGCGGGCGCGGGCGCGGTGGGCGAGCGGGCGGTGGCGGCGCGGATGAACTGGACCTCCCGCGACTGGCGGTACAGCTGCTCCTCCTCGGCGCGGTGACTCATGACGCGCGCATGGCGACGCCGGCGCCACCGCTCAGGCTCCGGCACGGCCCGGCGCCCGCCCGCCAAGCGCGGCCAGCGCCCCACGGGCCGCCAGCGTCCAGCAACACCTCATCTGCAGAGGAACAAAATACAAAAGGGTGAGTACATTGTAGATAGGGTGACCAGCAGCTGTTTCTGTGTGACCTGAGTCGTACACTCTAAACTTCCTACAAAGAAAAATCTTTGTATTACAAAGGCTAAGACTGGTAACATACCAAACATTTTGCGCAACCGTAATACGAAGGAGCCACTTAATAAAATACTAAGCGGTTTCCTCGTAAGACATTTCCTTTGTATGGTACTTAGTAAAAGTGTTTTAAATAAAGCTTTTGTAATATGAAAAGAATTTATTATTGGAAGGCTATATATTATATAGTAATTTATTATTTGGATGTGAGCGAGTAACGGTTAACTGTTAAAATTGAGCATATAACTATTTGTACTAATGGAACTTCATATCACATCTCACAAATAGCTTTAGTCATAGGTTTATGTATTGCAGAACCCTCAGCTACACCTGATCATATGGCATTAGATAAGTTGACTTCAATGCGCACATTTTTATTAAAGTCTATGTGGGTCTGAGATGCGCAAAGGCCAGACACAATTTAAATAATATGTTTTCTAAGAGGTAGCAGTCTAGACAACAGTTGCCTTAAGGTGGATTCAGAGTTCCCTGAAAGCGAGCGTGATTCTCACGCAAAGCGTGATTTTCACGCCCGGCGTGATGAAAGTCGATCCCTGATTGGCTGCGTGAAGCTTACGAAGCGTGAAAATTACGCCTGGCGTGAAAATAACGCTTGCGTTTCGTGAACTCTGAATCCACACTTATCCTGTTGGTAAAAACTCACTTGTGCAACATTACAAGAGGCTTTAAGTGATGTTAGTTTCCATGGGAGAAGTACCTCCATAACCTCGACGGCTGATATGGTAACAGCTGCCCATAACCGTTGGCAACTAAAAGAAGATGCAATATTCCACGGGTAATGAAGAAAAACTTATGGGAGATGATAATCCCATAACAGCTCCAACTGCCATCGAAGTGCTCCACACCGAAAATGTATTTCAAGTCGAATGATAAACGCTAGCTGGCGACGCCATGACGAGACGACTTCTGTTTTCTGTTTCTGTTTTCACGGAGGCGCGGGCGCGGCCGGCGGTTGCGGGGAGAGCGGAGCACAGGTGGCGCGCTCTTGCGGGGCGAGTGGAAAGCTTGGCGCGTTTTGGCCTTCCCTCCGCAGCAGTCTCAATATCGGGTGGCTAAGACGGTCCGCGTCTTATGAACCACTTCTCCGTGCCGAGGCGGTGCTTCGGCTCGACAGTGCTCGATAGCGCCATCCTCCTGACAAGCAGCACAACCCCCACAACCCCGACACTACCGCTTGGACCAGGTCGCGCACGTGCTTGTCCGTCTAGATCATGGCCTCTGTACTGCGCTCGAGGACCACGGCGACGCACTGCGCGGGCAGTGTCCCGGACATCGGCGGCTGGACCAGAGTGGCACTTGTGGGGGGGGGGGCATTCCCCTGTCCAGCCTGACACTTGGCCTCGGGTGGCTCAGCACCGGGACCGTATCAATACAGGCGCGGTTTTATGGGGGGAGGAGGGGTGATCCCCCCCC